CTACTCACACTTCTTAAGATCGGTAACTGCCCCGTTAACCGCGATGTTACCAGGGTGATCACCCTATTATCGTCCAGCATTGGTCTTTCCCTCGGTTCGACACCCCAAAATCCGGGTTCTACCTCGAAGGAGCAATTTCGTCCACTAATTTGACAAAATCGATCCAACTTTTCTTTCCCCTTTCTTTTTTTTTTTATTTTTTATTTTCTTTTTTTCCATATTCTACCAAGAAAGTTTATTTAATCTAATATCCTGTAAATTCGCGCGCTTTAAAAAAGGAACGATTATTTATAATGAAAAAAAATTTTTGATGCACAAAGTCCGCATATATATACACACACACACACACACACTTAAACTTACACAAACATACTAGGAAAAGGCAGAACTTGTTGAAAGTCACGGAAGCTTATTAAACCGACAAAGGATAGTGTCGTTGATGAAACGAAAATAGAAATCGGAGCATCCCTTTGTCGCGGCTGCGGTGCATAGTTTTCCAAGAGAAAGAAGATAAGAGGCAAAGAAATACACAGAGATAGAGAGAGATATAGAGAGATAGAGTGAGAAAGTGAGAACTTAGGAAAGTAGAACTAAGGAAGATAAAAAGATGGCCAACAATCCTGGTGAAAGGATAATACACGGAAGTCGTCCGATTGGTTCGTAGCCACGCGCCAAAGTATTTTGTACTTAGGAATACGGCAGATGTTTCTAACGAGCCTTAAGAACCTCTTGCTCTTTCTAGAGTAAGAGTAAAACCAAGCAAGAGAGAGAGTGAGAAAGAGGAGAGACGGGAGAGGGAGAAGGAAAAGAGAGAGTGAGAGAGAGAGAGAGAGAAGAGTATCGATCGCGATATGCCACGCACCGTCGCGATTAGTCGGCCGTCGTAATGAAGATAAGTCCTAACGAGCTCGCTGTCGGCGCGTTATCGGCCCGAGAGACATGCGATCAACGAGCTTTCGAAGGATAAGCCTACCAAGAAGGTAGAAGTAGAAGTTACGAAAGAGTCGAAAAAAAAAAGAAAAGAAAAGAAAAGAAAAGAAAAGAAAGGAATAAAGAAGAAGGGCAAAAATTCTTCGACTTCGCCACCGGCGGTAAATTATCTCTCGAAGTCTGATCACAGGACAACACAGTGGCTCGTGTACACCGTTTGCCATTGGACATAAAATTTATGTCCTTTTGTCTACTCTCAGCAGTCCTACCGCATATTTATTTCTCTTCGATCGTTCCCTTAAAAAAAGCAATGCTAAAGTTATAGACCTATAGGTCTCGGTTGGACCTTTCGACATCGTTAGATACAACAATAAGTTCATCCAATGGTTTTCTTTAACCATAACCTAGAAAATCTTGCTAGATCGATCGAGAATGAGAAAGTTAAGGAATCCGGAAGCGAGTGGAGGCACCTTGCATCGGTATAAGGGGTTGAGAAAGAGGGTTGCCAGAGTCTCTTAAAAGTCAGTGAATCCATCTACGAAGGACCCTAGTGCGAGGGTGCAGGGGTTGGTTCTAGGTGTTCGACCAAATCGGGGGTTATGCACCCCCAGATCGGTAGCGCGTGTCCTCTTCAATGGAGTAGTCCACCGCTATATTGCCGAGAGGTACCCAATCCAAAAGGGGTTAAATGCTCTTTTTTTTTCCCCCGCGACGAGCCGTCAAGGTGTTGACCGCCCCTTAACGACGAAAAACTAACGTCAACTAACGGAGGGAACCCCAAAGTGGCCCCGATTAGGAATCGTTTTGTCACGACGGAATTAAACTTGCATCTTGTTTTTCTTGGTTTTGTTTTAATTGTTTCACGATTGCTTTAAAACAAAAACAAAAAACGAAACAAGACTTTCAAGCATTCAGTTACATAATAAACGTGATTGCGTTTCAATTATTTCTCTTTTTTTAACGGTAAAAACTATACGCGAAAGAACAGTTTGAAGTATTAGTAGTAGTAGTAGATTCGAGAAGATGTATAGAAGTCGAGAGGGTGTTGTAATGTGTAATCGATTGCGCAAGATGTTTAGAGAGTTAGTCGAGAGGGAAGGTAAATTAATCGTACTCCACAGGTAGGTAGTGTAAGGACAAAAAAATACAAGGAAAATGTGAGAAAATAGTAAGGATGGAACATAAGAACCATAAAGCTCGCCGTTCCGCATGTCTTCTTTTTTACAGTCATAGCTTCGTACGAATTTCTTTTCTCTCTAAAAGGTTCTCTTCTTTTCGACCAGGTGAATGTCCTCCTGAGAGAAGTAGAGGCCATAGCAATAAAAATCAAGAGAAAATGAAAAAAAAAAGAGAAAGAGAAAAAGAATGAGAGAAAGAGAAAGAGAAAGAGAAAGAGAGTAACAGGGGTGATTTTTCATTTTTCGATGCCACGAAACACCGACAATGGACGCGTGTCACGACGGTAGCAGCTGCTTTCGCCACTGTGTTTAGCTCGCGCACATGGTACATAGAAACTCGCCGCCATCGCACCAAGATCGCATATCGTAAGATCGAAGTTGCGCAGCTTTTGCCGTATTTAAACTGGCCGGGTCATGTGTTGTTCGCATTTCAAATAAGTCGCTTTGTCTTTGTAGAATTTCGTTTTTCATTTGATTTGTTTGCTTGTTTGTTTGTTTGTTTGTGAATTTTTATTTTAAAAGTTAATCGCTGTAATTTCAGCGAACAATGTTCGTTTTACCTTTACGTTCAATTATTTTATTCGTTTTCCTTTCTTTTTTTCTTCTTTTCCGTATCGAATGAAATGCATTCGAATTTATTGCCATTATAAAAATACTTTCTTAAATTCTGCCTTAAGACCTGATCTAAGAAATATCGGCAAAGAAAAAAGAGCAAAAAGGAGAACCTTTATATCGACTTATTTGAAAAATGTATTTTTTTGAACATTTAATAGGCTCTACAGTCACCACTTCACTGATCAGTTGTTCGACGAAGAGATCGATATTCGAAAGGATCCAGAAAAGAAAGATACAATCTATCTTCTCGGGCTCCGTTAATATGGCGGACTGGGCAAAGCTAAATGTCAGGTAGACAAACGTTTCACTATGAAACGAATAAAGGTTCTTTCCCTGACGTAACCTAAGAATATCGTTAGATAATATCTATATATATATATATGAGAATTATAATTCTCAGAATTGTATTATATATAACTTAAACTTTGTTCTTTATATGAAGAAAGTATGTATTTATTTTTCGAAAATATTTACATTAATGTTGATTTCAATGATTCCAGCCAAGTCATTCAAATGTTAATATATCGTCATATTGTTCGAAGAGGAATAAATTGGATTTTGTAGTAGCTTAAATCTATCAAAAGCAAGTAGAAAATCAAGAAAGAAAATAATAGCCGATGCATCTTCCGTCGTACGACTAAAGTAGATTCATTCGTCTACCCTACGGTAGAAGAATACGCATTAATTTATATCTGCATACGCTGGCTATTATTATGTTAATTTTTTAACCTACCCGCCGACATCAGCGAACCAGATATTCTGGTAACATCCCATACCAATGGTGGCTAACGTACGTATACGTTTATATGCACGTACGATTAAAATGCGCTCGGTTTACACATACACAATGAGAAAGAAAAGAAAAAAAAAAAAAAAGTACGAGATGAAAAAGATGATCTAGCACCTGGGAAAAATCAGCCGACAGAGATAATTCGTACAGCATCTATCGTTCATTCTTTTCATCGCGTATAGATAGCAATAGAATGAGAAAGGATAATGCCAAGGGACGATGTTTTTTTTTGTTTCGGAAAAGTCGAAGGGAAGAAAATAGCTGGCATACGTAGTAGGTAGGCTTTTTCGATGATGGCTACGATTAAAATACAAGACGCAATACAACCGGACGGATGAGAAAAGACACAGAATATACCCGCAGGATAGATTATGAGGGTGAATGTGAAAAAAATTAACTCTTATTCGGGTGCAAACGCTTCGACACGTAAGGATAAAAATCTATGAAGCCCTCATCAAGAAAAGAATTACTAGAACGAGAGAAATTACGAGAGAGAGAGAACAAGATTCGAATCAGTTGAGAGAAAATTTACTATTTTTCTATTGAATCGAACAGATGAGACAATACGCAATTGCTTGTTTTTCCTCTATGAACTTAAAAATCGATCTATCCGTTTCATACTTTTATTATTCCACCCTACATTCCGCGCGGAATTACGCTTCAATTTGTGAGCCACTTCGTTCTATCTTTTGTTGGGACATTACATAAAAAAAGAAAGTCGTAAAACGGTAGGCAAGACTGTCTGTTTCATGAGGACCCTATTTTCCTATGTAGTGGAAGCAGCCAATCCCACGGGTTTCAAAGATTCGACATTTTTCCTCTGTTGTTTTTCCCCTTCGAGCGTGCTAACGATTTATTTCGACAACCTCTCCAATTTGATACCAACGACTCTATTTTTCAGCTTTGAGCAAGTCAACTGCTTTACGAAAATTTTTGCTTCAGCATTTTTCTATTTCGTTAGCTGAAAAGAAGAAATCTGGGTGATTTTTATAGAATATTTTTGATGCGGACAATACACGTTCATTTGTATCACGATGCTAGGGGAGAAAATATATAATAAAATAGATTTTGAATTATGGCCTATGATATTGTTTGGTCAATCGAACAGTTAGAAATAAGCTTACAAGTGAACTTATTTTCTAAATATTCATTTTCGGAAATAAAAAAAAAGGAAGGCACGGTGTATGACTATCGATTATCCTATGCTTATCTTCCAGGAAGAAGATGAAGAAGAAGAAGAAAAAAACAACAAGTATTCCGAGGAAAGACGAGAACGACCCTATGACCCACGATCGTATAAGTACGGTCGAAACGTTTTTTTTATGGCGCGTTACACGTGCCTGGCGATTTCAGCGAAGTGGGGGAGATGGTGTACAAGGACGGTACGACGATTTGAAGAATCCAAGAGTAACAGAGAAAAGGTAAGAAGGAAAAAAGAAAAAAGGTAGCAAAGAAGGAAGGAAGGAAGGAAGGAAGGAAGGAAGGAAGGAAGGAAAGAAGCAAGGAAGTAGTATTGCAGCATCCCTCGGCTCGTCGAAAGACGCGCGCCGCCATACGCGTACGGGGGTTGAGGTTCGAACTCGGGCATGCGCAGTACGGTTGGGACTTCATCGCCGTTCCCCACTACTTATCCAAACTGTTGAGAGCACATTTAGTTCTGGATGTGGGGCGGGAAAGTGGAGAGAAGGGTTTGGTATACCCCACCATCACCGAAAAATCTTTCTTTCCTGTTGGTGTTCGTTCGACCAACGTCGTCTTCCATTCGCCCATTTCCGTGAAGACTCGGTTAATATCGGTATCTCCCCACCATTGAACGATAAGCGCGAGGTCGCGTAAAATTTCCCTTTCCACTGGAGCGGGTTGGTCCTGGACTGGCGCTCGGTATCCTGGCTTCCCGCCATGGTCGCTCGTCGGGATGCCGAGGAGTGCCGAGCCAGGCCGAGTAGTTCACGAGCTTTGAAACGCGGGTCGGCAGCTGTCGGCTCGTTCAGCAACTATCCGGGGCCACGGACAAAGAATATACTCTCTTGCCGAGCAATACAGTCACCGCGCGCGCGGCGAGAGCACACACTCAGCACGGGGCAGCACGCCGTGAAAACCAAAGGTACGCCTTTGCCCCCTTCGATCTTCGGCTAGCGCGCTCTCTCCCCGTGTCTATACATATACACATATATATATATATAGATATAGATATACTATATAATTCATACATGTATATACATATACATATACAAATTGATAATCCGCGGGTTATTTGTTACATACGTTTGCACGGCGTCATTTTCATTGTGTTGCTGTTTATTGTTACTTACTTTTTTATCAATATCTTTCATTCCTTATTACTTATTTTTCTACGGGGGTGAAAATCGAAAAGGGAGAGAGAGAGGTATCGTGATTGTTCCGTCCGAGATCGATGTCGTGGTCGTCGATTGTCGATTGTCGTCGTCGTATCTACTGTCGCGAGTGTTGATCGAGAGGGAAATTCAGGAAAGAAAGGAGGAATAGGTGCGTGCGCGTACGCGCGCGCGCACCAGCGCCGAAGATAGATAAAGAGAGAGAGAAAGAGAGAGAGTGAGAGAGAGTGATAGGGTGAGAGAGAGAGAGAGAGAGAGAAAGAGAGAAAGAGAGAGAAACGTACCGTTCGTGAATCGTCGCGCCGGTGGTACACGCGCCCCGATATTACGCACGAGGACGTGCACGGGTGAGGAGACGGGAGAGGAGGAGATATATATCGTGAGCCTTGCGTGCTTCTCTTTTCTGGTGCCGGGTGAAATAAAGAAAAAGGAAAGAAAGAAAGAAAGAAAGAAAGAAAAGCCACAAATAAATACGGAAAGAAAAAGGGAAAGAGAAAGAAAAAATACGGGAGAAAGAGAGAAAGCACGGTGACCGGTATGTAAGTGAATATAAGAGTGTAGTCTTTTACGTGTGCGTCCTCTTTAGTGTGTTTTCATTCGAGAAAATAAATAGATAAGAGAGTTAGTGCGAGCAGGTACGAGATAAGGATATACCCGGGGGTGGTAGAAGGAAAACAGTGCGCGAGTGGTTGTTAAGATAGGTTAAAGAAAGAAAGAAAGAAAAAAAGAAAGCGGAGAAAAGTGTGGAGGTGGATAGTTTTCGGCCGTCGGAGAGAGAATGTTCACTTTCGCTATCGTTACGTTCTCCCTCATCCCTTACCTTCTTCCCCTACTTTTGACGGTATCGGAGAGTACACCCTCTCAGGGGTTGAAGAGAGAGAGAGAGAAGTAGATAGATAGATAGATAGATAGATATATAGATAGACATAAATAGATAGATAGGAAAGAGAGTGGGAAGGGAAGAACGAAGGAGGAGCACTGGGGTGGTGCTGGTTCGAATAAATCGGGAAAGAAAAGGAAAACATGTTTGGCGGGTAAAAATCTAATGCATGGGGTAGATGATCGTTTTGACAGAAGTCGATCGAGTTTTAGGATCGATTTGGATTAGATCGACTTCTGTCTTATTCAGCAACAAGAGCCACTGTGACACCACCAGCACCACCACCATTGCTAACAGCGGTAGTAGAGGCAGAGGCAGAGGCAGCGGCCAGAGGCAGAGGCAGAGGCAGAGGTAGAGGCAGAGGAAGAGGCAGCACCACCACCACTACCACTACCATCGCCGCCACCGCCACCACCACCGCCGGCGACGCCTCCTGGCAAAGCCGGTGGCACGGTAGTGTCCTCGAGAGCACGCCGTGCACGCATCGGTGCTGCGAATGTTCCACGGGTCTCTCTCTCGCGACGGCGTGAGTCGACGAGAACGCGCGTCGTGTCGTCGTCGTCGTCGCCGAGTGACGGAAACTACGGCGCCAACCCCCACCGAAATACTCCTTTCTACGAATACTACTACTACTACTACTACTACTACCAATATTACTACTACTACTACTACTACTACGAATACTACGAATACTACTATAGGGCTCGGTTTAGTCGCTTCGTGGATGCTACGCGCAGTGTATGGGAAACAGGTTTTTAAAGCACTAATTTCTCTTCTTCTTCTTCTTCTTCTTCTTCTTCTTCATCATCTTCTTCTTCTTCTTCTTCTTCGAGAAAAAAATACACGACGGATACACGTTGTCTGTTGTCATCTCGTTGTTTTTATTTTCATTATTCTTATTCTATTGCCTCGTTCGATAAACATTAAAGACGATTAATGTGTGCCGCTGCCCAACCCCCCTTCCCACCCCGTCAGATCGCCTGTCCATTTTTATAAATCGAAAATCAGGGATAGGTTATTTAATTGCCCCTCTCCCCACCCCCCATGCGTATAGGTTTCTAATAAGATTTCTATACCCAGCAACGGGATAAGTTTTCTCTCTCTCTTTTTCCATCGTAGTCCGTCTATCCAGCAAGGAACTTTTTCTACTTTTTTTCTTCTTCTTCTTCTTCTTCTTCTTTCCGTTTGCTCGTCCTCGAACACGAAGTTGTTGAGAGAAAGAGAGGAATAGAGGGAGAAAGGAAACTGCTAAGGGAGGTGAACAGAGCGAGACAGATTTCGGCCGGTTCCTCTAACTCTCTTTCCATCTCTCTCTTTCTTTCTCTTTTTTTTTTCTTTCTCTTCTTTCTTCCTTTCTTTCTTTCTTTCTTTCCTTCCTCGCGAACGGAACGACGGAATGGATCGAAAGGAACGAAAGAACACACCGACGTTCTCTCGTGGATCGCGAGAACTACGGGCGCCAAGAGATTTACGGGCGCATTCGCGATCCTCGTCTCTTCCCTTCGGCATTGCCCTTTCTCGTCTTCTTTCTCATTTCTTCTTATTTCTTCCTTTAACTCTTTATGTTTCTTCTTTCTTATTGTTTCCTTTTTTTTGGGGGTCCCTTTTTATATTTTATTTTAGATTTCTTTACTTTTTCTTATTTCTTCTCTTCTTTTTTTCTCGTTTTACTCCACTCCAAGACTCAAGTTTTTCGTTTATTCGTACGTTATCGGAAGATCTTACGTGGTCAAACGTTGGTTCAGATGACATCGGTAGCCCGAGGATACTCCGCTTTGAGAAAACCTAAAAAGATAACATGCTGTTCTTGTCTGTTATATTGTTGTTACTGTTGTTAATGTTGTTGTCGTTGCTGTTGTTGTTGTTGTTGTTGTCTCTTGTTGTTCTTTTTATTATTGTCACGTAGGAGTGGCAGGTAATTTGAATTTGCTGTTCCACGGAATAATCCTCGTTTCGTCTTCTAATCTTCTTTTTTCTACCACCCGCCTCTCCCCCCCACACGGCGGCCCCGCCACCGCTAGTCATAAAAATATTTCACCACGAAAACCTTCGTATTTTAATTGTTTTTTTTTCTTTTTCTTTTTTTTTTCCTTTTTTTTTTTTCCTCTCACAGGCTCTAGTTTACGTGAGAGCACGTTTTAAAAACGAATACGTCGCTGCGCGGGGCTTACGCATTCATGAATTCCTAGAAGCTTGCATATTCGATTCTACTCCGAAATGGATCGAAATCTCGCGGCGTAGCCTTTGTTCCGTTCGATTTCTCGGAATCTGAGAGAGAAAGAGCGAGAGAGTGAGCGTTTCGCGCGACAAGAGACGTTAAAGATGGCCGCTTCTTCGTCGTGATTTAGCCGCGTTTTACGATCTCGCGAAAGGATCGCCAAAAACGAGGAAAAAGAAATAATCTCAGAGAGATATAGGAAGAAATAAAATTCCTTTGAACATTTTTCATCCTTAAACAATTCCATTTTATTTATGTCCGTCAAAACAACAACAACAAAATGACCATTGTTTTTTCTTCCCTCGTTTCTTCCTCTTTTTTTTTTTCTTCTTCCTTTTTTCGTTCCTCTCTATCTTACTTCTTATTCGTTGATCAACCGGAGGAGAGTACAACGATTTTATCGTTGTCGTGTCGTTGTCGTCGTCGTAGTAGTAGTCGTCGTCGCGAGTATTCTTCTTTGTTCCCATGAACGAGTTGCGATCGCGGTATCTTCGAACCTCGTGTTGCGATATACTGCGAGAGAACGAAAACATCGTTTAATCGTTCGCGGTTAATACATTTTTTTTTTTTTTTTATTTATTTCTTTCTAGAAATGCAATTGTGACATATCATCTTTTCGGAGTATATTTATGTATAGGAAAAATATCTACAAGCGTTATTGTTTACACTTATCATCTTCACCTTTGTTACTAGTTAATCGTTATCTCGTTTGTTCTCGCGATGACGTTGCACTTTTAATCCACTTTCTTATAATAATAATAATAATAATATTAATAATTATATAGATACAGAGGAACGATACACAAAAATAATTTATGTCGGGGGATAGAAAAAAAAAAAATGAAAATCTTTGCCGAGATCGTATGGTTAAGTTCACCGATTATTTCTTTGAAAAAAAGACATTCTATTGCGTTGCATGCGCGATATGTGTGTTGTTATAAAAAAAAAAATATTCTTTTATAACTGCTCTCCTCTCGTCAATTACATTTAACAGCAATACCGTATTGACATGTTACGGTGGTCTGATATGTTTGCATTGAGACTTTTTCGTTCGCGTATATAATACCCTCCCCAAATATCATTTTTTAACAAAGTCATAGAAAATACAATCGATAACTCTTCTTCTCGATTAATCTTCGCTAAATGATTAGTTTCATTGGTCAATAATTATTATGGTAACTCTATCGTAATATATGCTTGCATATAATTAGACAAACGAAGGAATCGCATGAAATTATTCGGATGTCGTACGAACGCGAATCGAATTGGAGAAAAATTCTCTCTTATTTATATATTTCTTTTCTTGTTTTTTTTTTTGGTCTAGAGAGTCGATCTTTTTTAAACCACCGCTCATGGTGGCGTGGGTTCCAAGCGTCGTCGCGCGCATTAATCCGTGGTTTAGCGAACCAATTTAAATATCAGCGGCGCGCTCGACGCAATTTTATATCATTTCCGATATCGCGCGTTAGTGTGGGTGGTTTCGACGTAACGTCCCTTTCCCCGTGCCCTCCCTTTTCCTTCTCTTCGACGTCCGAAGCCCTCTCTCCTACCCTTACACCCCTCTTTACCGTCCTCCCTCTACCTCGACCGTTACGCCGTCATCCACATGAGCTAGGTACGCTTTACGATGCGTGTCTTTCTCTCTTTCTCTTTCTCTCTCTCTCTCTCTCTCTCTCTCTCTCTCTCTCTCTCTCTCTCTTACTTATGGAGAACGCGCCTGTGATCAGCTCGTACGCGACGCTCGTAACGTCGTGACGACGTAGTTGCGGGATCTCAAAGAAGAGAGAGAGAGAGAGAGAGAGAGAGAAAGAGAGAGAGAGAGACCGTGAGAGGGTGAGAGGGTGAGAGTGTGAGGGGGAGAGACGTATGCACGCGCATGCGTCAGACATCGTACGTATATCCCGCGCGCACGTGCGTACGTATATATACAAACTGCGCACACGACGACATTCGGGGGATCAAGAGAGAAAGAGATAGACAGAGAGACGTGCGTATGCGAGAGTCCGGTAAACACTTGCTTGTATATGTGTATACATATATATATATATATATTTTATATATACTAACACACGTGTTTGTGTACAGTGCTGTAAAAAAGCATGGTGTTGTGAAATTTGAGGAAAAAATGTATTAGGGGATGAAAGTTCGTGAAAAATGAGAAAAATAGAGCGAGAAGGAGATACACAAAGGAAGAGAGAGAGAGAGAGAGAGAGAGGGAAAGTAGGAGGGTTGAATGGGTTAACCGTTGGAAAGATGTCTCTTATTAATCGTATATTAGTTTAGTGTGTCATATATGTATATTTATATTACATATACGTGCCAGCAAGTACGCGTATATGTGTATTTTGGAACGAGACGGAGTGACATGTAATACATTTGTGTTGGTGACATTACGTCGAGTTGTGAAGAGGTAGTTGCCGGAGAGCTTTAACTGGTAGTTACGTTCGAAGTAAGTGCTGGATCAGAAGTAATATCGTTGCCACGGTACGAACCGACAAGATTATCGGCCTGGGCGGTAATTGTTTGACGCTTCGCGCCAGCTCTTATATTCGTGACAATAAACGCGTTTGCATAAAAAAAAAAAAAAAAATAGAAAATAAAAAGAAGGAGACTTCTATCCATGTTTAATCATCCACGACGACGACGACGACGACGACAGACGAAAGCAAGTACACGTACACGAGGAAGCAATTGATCGATCGATTGTCGTCGCTTCTCATGATCTTGATTGATGTTTGTTTATTGACACATTCATAATTTTCATTTATAAATTTTACGTACTGATATAAATGGAATCGGCTAGAACCGAAATTTGAAATCTATACTTACGTACAGATTCGAAATTTTCTAACCGATAGAAAATTTTATAATTTCGAAGAAAACTTATAGGATACTTCTAACATTCCATCGAGAAAATTATTTTCGTTACTAATCACGTGGAATGTAAGTACGTAATACCTATATGTTTTTCTTTTTTTCTTTTTACGACCTTTCCACGCATTTTCACAAAAGGATAATTGATTATTCGGAAATTAGAGTTCTCGTCATTCGTGTGTTTAGAAAAAAAGAAAAAAAAAAGGATAAACGTCGAGATTCTTGAGAAATGTTTTTCCCGATAAAAAGTAGTCGGATCGAACCCGATGAAGGGAAAAAGTCACGAAATTCGTGCAAGAAGGGCGTCGCGCAGTTTTGCTACGGCTCTGACAAGTGTGCACGTCTTTCTTTCTCTTTCTTTCTTTCTTTCTTTCTTTCTCTCTCTTTCTCTTTCTCTTTCTCTCTTTCTCTCTCGCGTGCGTGCATGCGTGCGCCGTAAGAGAGAGCGCGCGCGCTCGCTCGCACGCCCGCGCCCGCGTGTGTGTGGGACCTTGAATCAAGCAGCCTTTGTCGCGAGACTCCACCGCGGCACCACGAGGTCGGCGAAAGTGTACCCGAGCTTTTTTGTTCAAGGGCCGCCGCGAGAAGAACGCTATTTTTTTTTTCCCCTATTTTTCTTCTTGTCTTTCTCATTCTCTTTCTCTTCTTTCTCTCTTTCTCTCTTTCACTATTTCTATCTTTTTCTTTCTCTCGTTCTTTTTATTTTTTTTTTTTCTCGAAGCTAGCTAGCAAGCCCACGGCCGGAGGACGAACGAACGAACGAACGAACGACGAACATTGGCCATTTTTGTTTCACCGTGACGCCGGAATTAGCGCGAGCGTCGTACTGTTAACGAAAAATGGGGAACATCGTTATCCAGGATTTACGCTCGCGGAAAGAGGAAGATAATCGGAATGGAATCGCTACGACGAAAGACGCCATCGTGTTCTTCCACTCCGGATATCGGCCATCTTTGTTCCCTAGTTTTTTTTCTTTCTCTTTCTCTCTCTCTCCTTCTCTTTCCCTATACATATATGATATATCAAGTAGGTTGAGAAAAATTGTCGAATTTTTCTTTGTGATTTATTTCTTTCTTTCTTGGTAAGTTAATCGTACGTATAAAAGAGGAGAACGAAATTCTGAAGAAAATCATTCAGAAGTTTAGTTTTCTACTAGCTCGTTTCAATTTCAGCCATGACCTCTTGATATCGGTTAAGGATTAATCAAGCCAACGTTTGTTTGGTCGGTTTGAATCGTTTCACGTGACTACTATGTACGACTGCAACGAACAGAACGAAAATTCGAAAAGAAAAAATACAAATAAAAAGAACGATTGTTCTGTTAGAGCTCTAACAACAGGGTTGGGAAAACATAGAAAACTGGAAGAGAAAGAAATGGGAGATAGAAAAAGGCGGGACGCGTTTTGGTTTCCTAGATTTGACGCAGGCGCAGTTAGGTGTTTTCTGTTTGGAGAGACGCGGTGTTTTGGACAACGAAGCTCTCCTCCTATTCGTTCGTCTTTCGGTCGTTTCGAACGAGACGAGACGAGACGAAACGAGACGAGATGTTAATTCCGAGCGTGCGGAATCTTCTCTATCTCGCAGCTGGTTTATACGCGCTTCTTGGAATTCGCGTCCTGCGCTTGGCGAGAGGGCCGTGCGAACGAAAGAATTCGTTCCGTCTCGACGACGACAACGTCGACGACGACGAAGACGACGACGAAGACGAAGACTTCTCTGTTCATCGTATCGTTTCGTCGCACCGGGTATACACAGCGCGACGGAGCGTACACTATGGGCCGCTTCGCAACGCGCGAGGCGGTATTGAATTTTTGTGCGTACGTACGGTCGATTCGACGAAAGTGCAACGGTGGGACCAGCTGTGCCCGCCGACGGACGTTCCTTCGAGCGACTTTTTCTTATATAGCCTTTACTCCGAACCTCTATCTTTCTTTCTTTCTTTCTTTCTTTCTTCTACCTTTCACTTTTCATCCGGTCGTTTTTCAAAGAAAAATCCATGACGACCTCTTTCTCTATCTCTCTTTTATTTGCTTTCTCGACAATGACGAACCAGATTTTTTTTCTGTTACATTTTATTCATTATCTCTCATAGAATGATTAATGAATTTACGATAGTTCGATACAATTTTGTTCGTAGATCTATCTTTTCGGATAGATTCCTACGTATTTACGTAGATTATTCCGTTCGCCATCTTTTCTTATCCTGTTATATCAAATGGCGGACATGTATAATATATTTTTGTTCTTTTTTGTTTTTTTTTTTTTTTCGTTGAAGTCATCATTTATAATGTTCCCTATCAAAATTGGTTTAATTTGCGTGCCCGAATAATATATATCGTAAAGTATCAAAACTTTTGGCACGTGACCAATTTAAACCAAACGAAGTAGTCCGAACTTTTTAGGTTAGACGGATGGAATATTAATCTTCGGCGCTATTTTTAAAAAGCGCATACGCCGAGCAGGCCTCCGAAACTTTCTTAGATTTTTTTTTCCTTTCTTCATCTTCTTTTTCGTTGCCACGTGTGCAACGGATCTTCCGTGTGCGCATACAAAATGACCCTTTTTAAATGAGAACAACGGCACTATCCAGAGTTTATGCGCTCGCTATCGGAGCGCCGAGTTTCGCGACCTTTAAAGACTAAAGTTCACGGTATTCAGTCTAGACGATTTATGAACGTCAGGAAAGTTCAGTTGCCTATGACCCAAGCTGGACCTCTAAAGGTGTTTCCACATCGACAGAAAAATCACCAAATCATTCGGCAGACTGATTATAATCTTTTCCCAAAAGGACTCCTTTCAAATCTTACAAATCATTTATAAACCAACGCACTAAATCGTTTTAGAAGATGAAATATAAAATATCGATCGAAAGCCTATAATTCATTTTGAAAAATTTTTCAAATAAAAAACGAGACAAAAAGCAAAACGGAAAGTTTGCTTTTCCTTCCCCCTCGGCCCATTCGTAGGTTTGAACACGAAATTACAATTTCCGTTCAGAACTTTTTCGCGTCTCGTATCGTACATCTCTCTCTCTCTCTCTTTTTCTGGCGCAGCGGCAAAAGCGGCTGTTTCATAAGCGAAAGTGCTGAACGACAGTGCAAGTTTCCAGCGATAGCGAAAGCTTCAACGTCCACAGCTGTAAAGCTATTACAGAGAGGGTTTCGGGGAGAAGGGAGAAGATGGAATAGAGAAAGAAAGAGAGAGAGAGAGAGAGAGAGAAAGAGAGAGAGAGGGAGAGAGATAACGAGAACGCTCGATGTATGTACCCAGATCACAGTGTGTATTCGTGAACCGTGCGAAAGCTTGTGTCACACACGACCAGCGAGTTCAAATGTGTGAGTTTCTCTCTCATCTCTTTCTTTCTCTCTATTTCTTTCTACGTGTGTGTGAGTATTCGCCAACGCGCAGCCACGTGGACGCGTACGTGACAAGCTCCAGTTCGTTTCTCTCTCTATCTCTCTTTCTCTATATGTGTTACATGGCACGAGTCGAGCTTGCACATAGAAAGAGAGAGAGAGAGAGAGAGAGAGAGAACGTAGCGACTGAAGAGTAACCTGGTGGGGGTAGAAAAGAGGGAGAGAGGAAGAGAGAGTAAGAGAAAGAGAGTTAGTGTGAGTGAGAAACGAAAAGAGAGAGAGAGAGAGAGAGAGAGAACCAAACGGCGGTCGATATTTCACCAAGCCCGCCGTCGTACCAGTTTTCAACGATGGCTTTGAACCTCTCTCGAGAATAAGCAACTTCTCCACACTTTTCGACGTACAAATCGATTGAAACTTATGCTTTCGCTGCGCATTGCGTTAAAATGTCCGATAGTTTTAACCGCCATTTCAACTAACACGTTTTTGATTTACTAATCATTTAGAGCTTTTCTTTTTTTGTATATTTTTTCCTAATATCTCGTATATATGCATAAATTTTGTATACGATATACAGTTAAGAAATAAACGAAAAATAAATTAATTAAAATTCCTAATTTTTTTTATAAAACGCTATATATAGATATATTTTATTATTCAATAAAAACACACACAAACACACAGAGAATGATATATATTAGAAAATATTAAAAATGACTATATAGCATATACGTTTTAACGATTGAAACATATTTTACATTCAGAAATAATATTTTCTCTACACCTATGTGATTTGTCAGATACGAAATAAAATCTTTGTTGATTTAGTCCGTCTAAGAGGATTTTTTGAAAAGAGAAAAGAAGAAGGAATTTAAGAAAGCGATGTGGTAGGGTAAGGTGTGCGGTAGAGGAGGAATAGGAAGAGGACGCGATAAATATAATACGAAGACTATAAATTGTCCGTTGGAGGAAGGTCCGACAATGCGAAAAGCTCGTAGCCATCGTTGGTTGAGCTCGCTAGGCAACGTGAATGAAGCGGGTAGGGACTAGGGCAGAACATTTGTGGATATCAAAGCGTGCGAGTAGGTGTGCATGCACGCCGAACGTAGTACATAGTAACCTTGGCTCAGCAATGGTCACGTTATATAGCTGGATGACTATAACACGTTATTCTACGTCCCAGTAGCGAACGACTTGTTAGACGCGGGTTTTACAAGTGAGACTAGACGATAGCAAAAGAAAGAAACGTTAGCCTCTTAAATCGCGTACCTATACTTTCGTTTTTCTTTCATTTTCCCCCCACCCCCCACCGCCCAACTAACTCGCTCACCCCATCTTTTATCTCTTCTGTTTCAGATCGTACAAATCAATCGCCTTCTAACAAGCCGCATTAACCTCAAGTGATTTATATTTTCTTACGAAGCGCGAAAGAAGTAATTAGTGTGTTTATATCGTATAAAAGAAAAAAAAAGAAGAAGAAGAAAATAAAAAACAAAAAAAAAACAAAAAAAAATAAAAATTAAAATAAACAAAAAAATAAAAAGAAGATATACCAAGAGCTTAGTGAAGAAGAAGAAGAAGAAGAAGAAGAGTTGAAGAAGAAGAAGAAGAAGAAGAAGACGAAGACGACGAAAAAGGAGGAAGAAGAGAGGAAGACAAACATTTAAAAGTTATAATATCTACCTAGTGTACAAAAATATATCTGAGAAAAAGAGTACAAACGATAAAAAGTTACAAAAAAGAAACAAAAAAAAAAAAAAGAAATAAAATACACACTAACACGAACGCAAAAGCATATACATATACATTACGAATAAATAAAAAAAAAAAAAATTAAAAAATTAAAAAAATAAATAAAATTAAAAAGAACACAAATAAAAAAAATCCGTCAGTGCCAAATCGAAAGGACGTGGAGGGAATAGGAAATCGCGATTAACAGTTGTACATTTAAAGGAAAAATAAAGTATACAGAAAACGATAGAAAGAAAGAGAGAGAGAAAGAGAAAGAGAGAGAGAGAAAGAGAAAGAGAGAGAGAGAAAGAGGAGAAGAAAGCAAAACCATAAACCAAAGAATCTACCATTTTTTCTACTAATCACTCAGTGAATAACGATACTTCCTAAGCAAAAAAAAGTGACCAAGAGCGAGGAAGAGAGAGAGAGAAAGAGAAAGAGAAAGGAAGCAAGACAAGCATCGAGACTTCCATAAGTGAAAATTATTCCGCGCAGTCTTTTGTAAACTATATAAATTTATATAAATATAAAAGTTATATATAAAAGTAAAAAGGGAGTGAGAATCTTAAAAAGTACTCGGTTCCAATCCGAGACTTAAAAGTTTAGCGCCGTCAAATGTTCTTTGGTGACGAAATCGGAGTTCCCGTGGACAGCAGGTGCATATCCAATTAGCAAGGAGAAAGAGAAAAGGAAGAGGAGAAGAGGAAAGAAAGAGAGAAATAAAAATATAAGAAGAATTGTAGTTCGGATCGAGTCGAGCTTGTGCACGCGGGAGGAGCGTTAAAAACAGGATGATGTGGCGAGGAAGATGAGCGCCGAGGTGACGAAGGAGGTCGTCGCCACCGAGAGGGTAGCACCGAGCCCTCCGGCGGCGGTAGCGACCTCGCCAACCTCTGGTGACCCGGGTCGGCACCTGCCGCCGTTCAGCAGCTTTGCCGGGGACAGTACGATGGACAGTTCTACGACTTTGACGACCCTTCATTCCCAGGACGTTGGACTGGGCCTTACGTCGTCCTGGGAATATTACGAGGGCCTGACTGGTCGGCTAATCGACGTCCGCGGCGAGGTGGTTCACGCTAGCCAATATCGTCCTTGGGAGTCGAAGAACGCCGGTGGCATCGTGTCTGCCGCAGCACCGACCGGTGAAGGTTTGCCAAGTTTCGCGAGTCAATTTACCGCGCCGAGCGAAGCCGAGCCCCAATTGACTGCGTTAACCCCGTTGTCGCCAGCATCCATTTCTCATTCGCCACCCGTCACGTCGGCCGTAGGTTTGCCCAGTTTTCATACTCTCGGGACACCTTTGCCCGCGCCTCATCCTCACCGAGGTACCGTCGGGTATCCCCTGGTGCCGGCACCCGTTCAAGCGAGAGAGGTACCGGCTCTGCAACAACAGATACTCGACGAGAGACACATTCAATTGCTCGGTTCTAGTCCCGTCCAAGCGTTCCCACCACCTCCGGGTCATCCTCATCATACTGTCCTGACCGTAGTCAAGCCGGATTATCCGCAACTTCATCATGCCAATTTTCAAAATCCAATGTCGACTGTTCTCGACTCCTCGCCAACTTCGAGGGCGATCGGCATCGACGGCCGTAAGAAAGAACGGAGAAAAATACGTGCTGGTTCTATGGAATCCGAAGACGGTGGCGGAGGTGGTGGTGGCGGTGGTGGTGGTGGTCCCGGTAGCGTTGAGAATTCTGGTCAAGTAGCGGCAGTATCATCTACCGCCAATCGTGGTCCTCATCATATGAGTGGCGGGATGGGTGATGCTGACGGTGACGGTGGCCTTGGTGATAAACCGGCTAAAAAGAAACGCAAAAGGTGCGGAGAATGCATCGGATGCCAACGGAAGGACAACTGTGGAGATTGCGCGCCGTGTAGGAACGATAAGAGTCATCAGATTTGCAAAATGAGGCGGTGCGAGAAACTCACGGAGAAAAAGGTCAGTGATCTTTAATATCTTCACTTGGGATTTTGATCTGTTCAAGATTGGACTGACTTATTGCGAGGTCATTTTTCACTTTATCTCTTCCCCGACAGATTTTTTTTTTTAACTTTCTATCATGGAAACGAATGTTAACTCGGCTTATAATATTATTCTCGTGGGTTTATTATAGAAAATATATTCTCTTTCATATATCGTGTTTATCCAGTTCTTTCTTGAATGTTCAAGGTCTACAATTTTAAATAATAGGGCGGTAGCAGGTGATATTTAAGGGATCCATAATAAGAAACACACTTATCATTTTATTCGCGAATTGCGTGTATCGTAAATATATGCAAGAAACGCTTGAAGATCGGATTTCCATAGATCGAAGAATTCAGATATAACAGAGTGTAAAGTACATGGAGTTCATGTACTCCTACCATGGAAATTCTGTCGTTCTGCTCGCGAGTGGTGTGCTCACAGGTGTATAGAACAGGGTGTGGAGTACAGTAGGGTTGGGTGGTATAAACACGGATAAACCCACGCTATAGAACGGTATATATAGCTTGAACTTGGCCCCGATGCCTGGATGTGCCGAGAATCCCAGAGGGAAATACAGAAGTACAGATAACCGCGAGGTGGTTTATTATTGTAGTGACATTGAATAGAGGGTTGGTGGGTTGACTGGCTGCTTTCGGTAGCGATGGCTATGAACCATGGTCTGATTTCATTTGGAATTCAACATTTCTTATTCTTTATTTAAACATTTGTTAGGTATCGGTACAATTGCGCGGGAAATAATAGAGAATCATAAGAGATATATTTGATCAAAGCGCGTAGTGTGTACCACCCGTGTAATATTAATCCCTCCCTATATTATTTTATTTTATTTTTATTAATTTTTTTTTATTTAAAAACGTAATACATCATCCATATACCTATAACGATCAGAATGAAATTGTACGAAAGTAATCGAGGATTTAAGTCTGGCTGGCATGCTTTTAAGAAGAATATACTATAGGATGATGCGCAAGCTGCAACAACGAGTGCAGCGAGCTCGGCGCGAAGTGGTTTGGCTTATCGCAGGGCAAGTTCAAGGCTCGCCGCGGGTCATAATAATCGCTCATCGAACTCCGCCTCGTTCGGGAAACAAACCGTGTTGTTCGCCGATACAACAAAACTTTAAGCCTCCTTCTCTTTATACTCTAAAAGATAACGTCGAGTCGTGTTTTAATAGAGAGAGAGAGAACTTCGTTATGAACGACCGAGAGATAAATAATGAAAACCGTGTGTAGGTTAAAGTCTCTTGTTGAAATCAGTAAAGAGAGAAGGAGAAAAAGAAGAAGAAGAAGAAGAAGAGAAATTGATCGAAAAATTTGAACGTGCCAAGCAAATCGATCCGAGTGTTGTTAAAACGTTTCGTCTCCCGCACATTGCTCTTTTCAAACGGGTGACTCATTCGTTTGCTTGCTCGACGACGACGACGACGCCAACGACGACGACGCTGACGACGACGCCGATGATGACGATGGCGACGGTGGTCGTGACTTTCCTGAAGATTCGTGCGTAGGCAGTGAGAGAGAAAGAGAGAAAGAGAGAGAGAGAGAGAGAGAGGGTTCCCGGGTCTCGTGATGTGATACGATTGAAGGAGAAAATTGTTGTTCCGTCCGATGATGATAGTCCAGCCGTCTGAAAGTAATGCAAGAAGTCCGATCGGTTCTTTGCACGCATAATGTTCGATACGTTTCCTATTGTAATTTCAACTGCAATCGAATTTTTCTTTTTTTTTTAAGAACCATCTGTTGTGTTACCACTACATCGAAATTGTCTTCGTACGATATCAAATTTCTTCGAATTTGTTTTATTTTTTTTTTCGGTCAATTATCTCGTATATAAACGATGATTTATATTTACCATATAGATAAATACTTTAATACATTTTTGATTTAAATATAACTTTATAGAGGTATGTGAAATATGAAAAGAGTAGAAATTCTTTACGATCGAATACTGGAATCAGACGAGAAACAACGAGAGTTAATAACATAATAGACTACCAGAGAGAGAGAGAGAGAGAGAGAGAGTGAACGTTAAAGGGAAAGGGATAAATAGCATCATATTCTGTTGTCAATAGTAGAATCATTTGTTAAACTAATAAAACGATATAAAGGGTATTCGAGAAATAAGCCTTAGTCTATATTATTTTCAAATTATTAATAAGAAAAATAAATAATATATATATAGATATAAGATTTGTTTTAATAAATAACATATATAATAGAATTCACATTAACAGCATGACTCATTTTCTTAGGAATTCTGTCGATAGTAGTATAGATATCAAAGTACGAAATGCTCATGATTGTTTGATCGACGAGTTGAGGAAAATAAGAATGGGATCATCGTAGGAAAAGGGTTAGAAAAGGGTTGAAAGAAAAAGTAAAAGTAAAAGGAGAAAGGTTCGTAGATGATAGATGGTTGCAAGTCGAAGACCGATGTATATAGGATCGCCGTCACAACAACCCACATCCTTCTAGGACTTAACACCCTCTTTATCCCGAGGGAAAGCTCTCGCCCCTGCTGTCTTTCTCTTCGTGCGAGAGGACTCTACCCTCGAGTTCATCGTACACCTGCCGTCGAGAGGCCACCCTCCTACGGTGATGGCCTGATTTTTATCGTCTTTCCACCTTGTTTTGGTCCGTTTCTTCGTTGTTTTCAAAGAGGGTGCAATGACCGAAGCATCATCTTCTCTCTCTCTCTCTCTTTTTCTCTCTTTCATAGCATGTATGGTAAATTTTCATCGTGCAGACGTGTAATCAAAATTAATGCGATTAATAAATTGCAT